TCTCTCTCACTAGAATGGCAGCTCAGCTCCACCGGGGCAGCGATTTCTGTTTGTTTTTTTTTGGTTCACTGTTTTATCTGCAGTGTCTGCCACATAGTGGGTGCCCAGTACACATTTGAGGAATAAATGCATGCCTTGGGTCCTTCCCAAATTTCCTCCTGCACCTTTTCTCAGGCGTGGCTGCTCCATGTCCTGTTGATTTGATCCACCTAGAGTCCCCCAGGCTGAGCCCAGCCTCAAAAGTGCTGGGCCCAGGATCTGCGGGTTTCACAGTGCTCATGTGGGCCCTGTGTGGAGGCACAGCTCTGGCTGTGCCTGCCCCTGGCTCCCTAAAGGTTGGGGGTGAGAAGAGACAGGAGGCCCAGGTCTCTCCTGGAGTCAGAAGTAGGAGAGTTTTGAAGCTGCTGATGGAGGGGCAGATTGCAACTCTAGCTGAGGGATTTAGGTGAGTTCTTGGGAAGAACTTAGTAAGACAGAGTGGTGAGGGTCCCCAGGGTGGGCTCTGCCAGGGCAGAGAGGTGGCTGGGACTGAAAGGGGAAGATTTGTGCATATGTTGAGGTGTGTGTAGTCAGTTTTGTGGTGTGACTGGCTGGTGACCAGGAGGAGGTGTGGCAGAGGAAGATTTGCCCTAGGCTTACAGTGGACAGAGTTTGGGGCCAATTTTTGACAACAAAAAAGCCACTTAGCAGGACAAATGCTCTTTTGACTTCTTGCCCTCCTCCCCCATTGCTCCCCCCCATCTCTTCCTCTACCATTTTCCCAAAGCCTGTGAGCAGGGCCCACCCCAGGATCCCTGGCATGCCCTGTGTTTCCCACAGCCTCGCTGGTCACAGCCAGCTCAGTGAGGCATCCCACTCACGCCCTTCCTGCCCCAGGCCCTGGGCCTTTGGAGTCTTGATGAAGTGGGAAGAGGCCCCTGTGGACCCCAGAGGCCCTATTTGGACCTGAGAGGGGCTGACCTTCTGGGACAGAACCAGGTCCCTGTGCAGCCCCATGGTTGGTGGGTACAAGCTGGAGCATTAGAACTTGGGACAAGAGACTCTTTAGTTTTGAGGCTGGAGCCCAGAGAAAGAGAAGGTGGAGCTTGTCCTCACACGGGAAATCCTCACTTCCGTTGTTCCCAAGTCTCTCCTGCAAATACCCTGGCCCTGGAGGAAGGAGAGGACCCAGCAAGGGTGTGGGGGTTATGGTAGGCATTTCAGAAGTTGGCTGGTGGCCATCAGAGATGGCTTTGTGCTGAGACCCCCTCAGTTCTGCCCTGCCATCTTGGGGTGAGCCCGCCATTGCTGGGGGCTCCCTGTCTCCCCCACAACCCACTGCCCAGCTCCCTGCTGGCTCTCTTTCACCTGCTACCCTGGAGGTCCCCAGGCTAGGCTGGCAAAACCCCACGAAGCCTCCATCAGCCTCTGCTTGGTTCCTTGTTTGTGTTTTCAGCTCCAGCCACCTTCAGAGGCCACCCCAAGCCCCAGCATGTTCAGGGAATTCTTTCCGCACGAAGCCTCCATCAGCCTCTGCTTGGTTCCTTGTTTGTGGTTTCAGCTCCAGCCACCTTCAGAGGCCACCCCAAGCCCCAGCATGTTCAGGGAATTCTTTCCAGAGTTGTCAAGGCTCTGAGGCCCAGGCTGCTGGTGGCTCGGTGTGTGGCACCCCCTGCCAGCCCAGCCCCTGGACTTTGCTGTGCTGTAGGGGTTTTGGGATTATGGCTGCTGTGAGTCCTTTGCTGCTGACTGGGCCCAGGGTGGGCCTTCCCGAGGCCTTTCTGTTTGTCTTTCTCCTCATATTGGGGCAGGAGGAGACCCAAGGTAGAAGGTTTCGGGCAGCTCTCACCTCCCTTGGGGAAGCTCAGAGCTCACACCCCCAGCCACAGCAACTCCAGAACAAGTGTGCGGGGTCACTTACCTGCTCAGCCTGGTGGGGGCAGGTGCTGAGGAGGAAGGGGAAGTGCCCACCCTCCATGCATGGCTGGGTGCCCCCTCCCCCAGCCTCCGCGTCCCCTCTACCTGTCCATCCTCCAAGCTCAGTTTATTGTTATTTGTATTAAGACACATTTCAACTCTACACAAAAGTAAAGAGAAAAAAACCACACACCCCATGTACTCACTATTGAGCTTTGTAAATCCTTTTTGTCATGTTTATTTCAGATCTTTTCGTTGTCAGAGAAACAACATCTTATAGCAGCTCCTGAAGCCCCCTGCATCCCTCCCTTTCCCTTCCTCTCCCGCCCTCTCCAGAGGTAAACACTGGTCACAAATTGTGTGCATCATTCAGGGGCCTGTTTTAATGCTTTTGCTATTAACAAATAGCAATACATCCATGAACAATATAGGGTATTTTCCACTTTTGAAGACCTGAATATAAAGGAAGCCTTCTGTACAAATCCTTCTGTATGTTTTTCATTCTGTACTGTTTTTGAGATTTATCTGCATTGATACATGGGGCTCTAGCTCATCTGTTTAATTACCATGTAACATTCCATTGGGTGAATAAACTGCAGCCCATTGATCGGTGCTCCTGTTTCCGGGCATTTAGCTTATTTCCAGTTTCTGGCAATTGCCCATGACACTGCAGTGAGCATCCTGCACACGTCCCCTTGGGCTTGTGTGCAAGAGTTTCTCCCGTATGTTCCAAGCAGGGGAATTGCTGGGTGGGAGAAATGCTCCTCCGTGTTCTGATAAATAACTGTGTAGCCTTCCGCAGGGGTGCCCACGTTCACACCCCCCAGACTGGACGAAGCTCCCCTCGCTCTACCCCCAGCCTTGCCACACTTTCTTCCAGCCTGCTGGGTGTGAGATGGCATCTTACTGTGTATAGTTTTAATTTGCATTTCTCTGACTACTAGAGAGGTGGGGCATCTTTTCATATGTATACGGGTCACTTAAAAGTTTTTGTTTCATTCTTTTTTTTTTCCTTTTTATAAAAGTAATACAAATACACGCTCTAGGATCAAGATGAAAGCCTGGTGCCCCCATCCCATCCCCACTCACCTCCTGTTTCCCTCTTGAGGGACAGCCACATTCGAAAATATGACTAGGTAATTTACTCATCTGGTTAAAACATCAAAACATTATGCAAATATACATTGAGAGTCTTTCTCCCACCTGTCCCCGCCTACCAGCTCCCCCCCTCCACCGCTGCCCCTTCAGGTAATCGCTTTTATTTCTGGTGTATCCTCCAGTGTTCCTTATGTAAATACAGAAGTCCCCTCTTATCTGCAGTTTCAGTTACCTGGGGTCAGCTGCGGTCCAAAAATATTACAGTACTTTGAGAGAGAGACCACAGTCATATAATTTTATTACAGTATATTGTTATAATTGTTCTATTTTATTATTAATTATTGTTAATCTCTTACTGTGCCTAATTTATAAATTAAAGTTTATCATTGGTGTCTATATATAGGAAAAAACATAGTATATTTTATTTTCTTTTTTTTTCCTTTTTGTCTTTTTTCGTGACCAGCAACGGATCGCAACCCTCAGTGTCGCGCCCGTACCGGACCGGGACAGGCCACGGGATCGCAACCCTCGGTGTTGCTCCCGCCCCTCGCTC